GCCCCGCCCTTCTCGCGCTAGGATTGGAGGAGAGACAGCGCAGGCGCAGGTAGTTGGTGTCCTCCGAAGGTGGGTTCCCGTGCGCGCTTCTCCGGAATCCAGCAGGAAGAACGGAGTGGGCGAGCCCAGTGTGGAAAGAGGGTGAACTTACGTCCGCGTGACGTTGGGGCCATCTTTACGGCCATTCGTGTCCCTTTCTGGGTCTCTCACTACCCCCACCCCAGTCCCTTCTCCCCCAGCTCTTCTGCCTGTTTCTTGTTGGTAACTCCTCCAGTGCATGTATCTTGGGGAGGGACTGAGGGAGCCAGGAAAGTAGGGTGCAGGCAATCAGAATGAGGCGAGAAAGAGGAATGGCCAGAATGGCCAAGGAGAGGGGCGAATGAATTTTGGACAAGCCAAGGGCCCCTGGGGCGTCGGAAGTCCTCACTTGAATCCCTACCCCCACCTACAAGAGAGAAAAAGAAAGTGAAGGGATTTGCAGTTCTGATTAACATGCTTTTGCACGTTTTGTTGCCTCCGTTTGGAGTGATCTCCCTTTTCCTGCTTTGCTGATTGCTTCTTCATCTTTTGGGACCTAGCTGGGGTTACTTCTGGAAGTTTCTTGAGCCTTGCCCTTCTTCCTTCCCGAAGTACAATTGCTCAGTTACCCCACCGGATTTCGGAAACATTCAAAAGAGAGAGCAAATTTAGAACTGGACAGACTGGGTTTGATTGCTGGCCTAGGTGACCATGGGCAAGTTACATAAGGACTCCAAGCTTCAGGAGCCTCATCTTTCAAAAGAAATAATAGTGCGCAGATTACAGGATTGTGGGAGTTAGGTGAGTCGATGCGTTGTAAAATGCTTTCTACAGTGCTTGTTGTACAGTAAATGTTCGGTGAATACTGCCCAAGAAGAAGGAAGAATAATTTTCTTTAGAAGGGCTTTATTACACCAAGCAAGACTTGGCTTTTGTAATTTTTTTTTTTAAAGACAAACAGGTACGTAAAAAGAAAGTGGCACTGGGGAAGTGAGTCCACTCAAGAGAGTACTCTATAGGAGACAAATGTTTGGCAGGAATGTTGACTTCCCCTCCTACCATAGTGCCCTCCTCCCATATCCTAGTGATAATGACTGACATCTGCTTCCTATGTGTCAGGGTCTGTGCTATGAGCTACACATACATCATTACCTTGTTTAATCTTCATGACCACCCTATGAGGTAGCTACTAATATCTTCATTTATAAAGAGACTGAAGATTTAGATAAAGTGACTTGTCCACATTCACCTAACTATCAAGTTTCAATGCCATGCCTTATTCCTTTTCTAATGAATAGAGGGGGGGAAAAATAACACTGCTTTCTTGGATGAATTTAATTTTTTTTTCTTCATGAAGTAGAATTTATCAGGGGGATGGTATAGCTCAAGTAGCAGTGTGTATGCTTAGCATGCACTACGTCCTGGGTTCAATCCCCAGTACCTCCTCTAAAAATTAACAAACGAATAAGCCTAATTACCTCCCTGCAAAAAGAAAGTAAAAAAAAAAGTCCCCCCCGCAAAGTAGAATTTATCTGTTTTGTGACCTAAAAATTAAGGAAACAATCTGAATCTCAGAGCATTATCTTAAATCTCAACAAGAATAATGTATCTGGAATTAATTATCATATCTAGTGGCAACTTTTGCTATTCCTAAGAGCAGGGTGACCAGCTTACCTTGATTTTAACACTTTAAGTCTTGCGTCAAGAAACCCTCTCAGAAATGGGCAATCTGGGACAGCTGGTCACCCTACCTAAGAGTGTTGAATCTCTTATCCATCTGGCCTTTGATCCTCTTAGGAAAAGTTTGACATTCACTGAAGACCAACCTTTATGCATGCCCAAGCATCTCGTGTGGGATTAACTCTTATTAAGTGAGCTGACATATTGTAAAATACTTTACAGAATGCCTGGGACAGAGAGTGTTCAACAGATGCTGTCATTTAAGGGACAGGTGAGAGGATATTCCATTTATGCCAGCATAAAAGAAGGAATATGAGTTAGTGGGAAGGAGATTTCGAGTTCTCTGTTCGTGTTTGTCTTTATGACTCTATGAACTAAAACTGTGATAGCAGGGCAGTTACAGAAGCAACTAGGAAAGATATGACTGAAAAGTCATGGCCAAAGCTGGGCTTATGCAGTCAGAACCGTGTAACTAGGGCAGTGACAAACCAGTAGCCCCCACTAGTGGATGTCATTCCAACAGAGTACTTAAAGTGAGTTAGGAACTGCCATGCTGGTAGAAAGCAAAAGATGTCAAGTAAGGAGATGTGAGAGGTATCAGCTTCAGGAAATACCAGGTTCCTCTTGAGACAAATTTTTTGCAAAGAATTCCATCTCAGGAGGAAATATGAATAAAGTGAACATTCCTAAGGCCCTCAAGACTCAGTCCTCAAGAATCGTGCCAGCATTAGCCTGCCTTCCCTCCCTGGCAGCCTCACCTGCTCCCACTGCCCATGTTTTAACTGTTTCCAGGCAGGTATACTGTTGGCTTCTCCTTCTACTTCAGGTTGACTTCCTTCTAATTCGAATCTTCAGACAAATAAGAATTGCTGTCTAAAAGAACTTGGAGGAAGATCTACTTGGATTCTAGTCCTGGCTCTTAGGTAAGTCTGGATCTTAGTTTCCTCAGAAATAAAGTGAAGGGAGAATGGACTGAATTTTCTTTTTTGTCATTCCATACATGACTCTGTGACATTTTCTGGTAAAGAATGAGGGTGGGGGAGAAAACGCATCCTCTGTGAGCCACTTGAGAGTATCTTTGTAGCCTTAGTACCTTAATACAGTGGGGGTCAGTAACCGTTCAGGAGACTTGTGGATGAGAATGCCTTGAGATTCAAAAAACCCAGATTTGAATGCACATATTAGTGGTACTGACTTTGGGTAACTGAGCAGATCTGGTTCAGAGCACCTTAGTATCCCTGTCTGCAAAAAAGCTGGAGTGAGATTTATAACAACCTTACACCTCTCCGGAATGAGTGAATTGCTATGAGCGAACCTACAGTTGTGCAGATGAAAAGAACTCTTTGTGTGTTCAAGACCTTGGGTTATCTGTTAACTGAAATTTGCTTCCTAGGAGGATGCAGGGTGAGCATGTATTGCTTACCCTAACTTTAGACAAAAGGCTACCGAGAATAGACTGTGATTCTTTCATTTGCTTCATTTTTTGATGAGATTGTGCAGAAAGCTTTAGCCTGGGACAATGATTCTTTCTGGCTAATGCAGTAATCAAACAAGTCTTGCTGCTCTCCTCAGCAGAAACAAATCAATTTAAAAACCCACATGGGAATTTACTGTTTCCTCTGTACAGACCAGGTTCAAGGCTGTCTCATTCTAGCAGCTGAAATCAAGCAGAAATCCTTGGAGAACCGTGTCATAAAGCCCCATTCACTTTTAGCTGATTGAAAATGTAAAAACACAGCCCACATACCTAGTATGCTATTTTAAAAAAAGATTCCTTTATTCCTTGGTTAATTAAAAAAAATTCACTCATACCATTGCTCATCTTTTCAAAAAACATATCGAAATAGTTCAGTTAAAGACATTTAACCATTCAAAATTATAAATGAAGTCATTTCCTTCCCTCACTTCCCAGCCACCCGCCTTCTCCCCTCCCCTCCCTCCCCACTCCCCATTACTGAGATCCCTAGGTTAGCACTCCAGACAGCATTCTGGCCTACATATATCCCGTGCTATTTCTTCTGCCTGGTGAGTTAAAAAAGGGAGTGAAAGCAGTTTTCCTATCAAGAGAAGCTGCAGCTTTGAAAAAGTCCTTCTTGGGGAGGGAGCAGCAAATCTCATCAGCCTAAAGATCTTAACTCCTTGGCTCTGAGCCTGCCGGGTTCAGAGATGGGCTGGCAGAGTTCGCTGTCTTCTGCGGGCTAGGGCTACACTCGGTGAGCCTGGATCAGTTAGAGGAGGCAGGGATGAATCCTTAGCGATCTGAAAAGAAATGAAACAAATTAATGCCAAAATAAGCTGACAGTGGGATAGGGGAATGATTGCCTATGTCAGCCTACCAATTAAAAAACCACTACTTTTAGGATATGTAAAGGTGGCCATTATGTATTGTTATTACAGGATGTAATAAAACACAGCTTGATTCTACTTTTGTGGAGGTTTTTTTTTGTTTGAATGGAGGTCATGGGGAATGTACCCAGCATCTTATGCATGCTAAGTGTGCGCTCTACCACTGAGCTGTACCCCAAACCTGATTCAACTTTTGTAAGAACAGATTTAGTTATACCAGAATGTTAAATTTTGGTTATCTCAGTGGTGGGATCATGGGTAATTTGTATTCAAATCCTTCTTATCTGTATCATCTAAACTCTCTACAATAAATATGTATTATTCTAGTAATAAGAAGCTACATAAAAAGTGATTGTACCAAGGGGACTTCTTGGGGGCTGGCCACATTCTGTTCCTTGATCTAGAAGTTGTCCACTCATGATACGAGCAATTCTCTGTATGTATAGTGTACTTCAGTTAAAATGGTTTTTAAACAGTGGTTTTCCGGGAACTCTCATTCATTGCTGGTGGGAATGCAAAATAGTACAGCCACTTTGGAAGGCACTTTGGCTGTTTCTTACAAAACTAAACATACTTTAACCATATGATCCAGCAGTCTCACTCCTTGATACTGACCCAGATGAATTGAAAACTTACATCCACACAAAAACCTACACATGGAGGTTTATAACAGCTTTATTCATAACTGCCAAAAAGTTGGAAGCAACCACGATGTCCTTTAGTAGATAAATGACAAATACTGAGTGAGTGTATGGGGCAACTGTATTTGGGAATTCTCTGCACTTTCTGCTCAGTTCTGCTGTGAACCTCAGACTGCAGTAAAAAAAATAAAGTCTATTTTAAAAAAAAAGTGGCTGTACTCCTCTGAGAATATATTAAAGACTGTAGAATTGTACATAATAAGTGAGTGAACTGTATGATATGTGAACTATATCTCAAAGCTGTTACTTTTTTTAAAAGTGGTTGTATTCATAGGTTAAAACCGATACAAAGTACTGACATGCTACACTATGGATGAACCTGGAAAACATTATGCTAAGTGGAGAAGCCAGACATAAAAGGCTATATATTGTATGAAATGTCCAGAATAGGCAAAAACAGAAAGATTAGTTGTTGCCTGGGACTGGGGGAGTGGGGAATGGGGAATTGCTAATGGGTCCAAGGTTTCTTCCTGGGATGATGAAAACGTTGTGGAATTAGACAGTGGTGATTAACCTGTGCCTTCCTGAGTGTACTAAAACATGTTGATTGTATGCTTTTAAAGGATGAACTTTATGGTCTGTGAATTATCTCTCAATAAAGCTGTTTTTTAAAAATGGGGAAAAAAAGACAATGGCATATTTTGGAACATTGTCTTAAATAGCTATGTGCCTAGAATCTGGAAAATCACAGTCTTTCGAACAATATAACTTAATGTACATTAAAAATTAGTTTTAATTAAGAATGCCCATATGTTAAGAAGCCTAGAACCTTCTCTCTCGTCGGTGCTCCCAGTTGAGTGGGAACTGGAGTCTGATACCTGAGAAGGCATTTTACCATTAGCAGCGGAATTCAAGGGAACGTCCCAGGTTCTTGCTCGAGAACATCCGGCTGTGGTCAGTGCGGGTCTATTAAAGGCAGCAACTCTCCGCATGGAGAATCCAGTTTCAAACACGCCAAGTCGTCCGACCGCGTGGGCCCGATGTTCAGGATTGCGATCGGTAGCTTGTTCTCCCAGGCAGTGAGGATAAACCTGTAACCGGAGTACACCTGTCCGAGAGGAAGGCGCCGGTAAGAACTCTCTAGGCACAGGAAGAGAGAAAGCTAATGGGGAGGCTCTCCAGGGCTCCCCAAACGGGCATTTCCCCACTCCCCCTCCCCAAGTTACCTGCAAGGAGGATCCCACCACCAGGAGGGAGTCGGCTTCTTTTACACGCTTGTGCACAAAATCAACCTTGTCAGGGTTCACCGTGCCCCCAAAGAAGACGACGTCTGGTTTCAGGGGGCCTCCACAGCGAGAGCAGCACGGGACCTGGAAGCTCTGTACCTGCTCGTCGGTGAGGAAGACATCCCCGTCGGGAGCCAGGCCATGGGCCTCGGCACTCCAGGTGGGGTTCAGGACTTCAAAACGCTCCTGCAGCGCCGTGCGGGGCGTCTGCTCACCGCAGTCCAAGCAGAGGACCCTGAAACCCAAGAAGAGGCCGACTGAACAGTCTGTCCTGGGGAGGCACCAGGCTGCTGAAGACATTTCATCCCCAACCACTTCCAGCCCCTCCACCATCACTTTCTTTTCCTGACACCTGTGTCTTCCCCATGTTCAAAATACCTTCCCGTGACCTCTTTAGCTACCACCTTCCTTCCACTGACAATCTACTAGAACAACAAACATCTTTTTCCTTACTACACACTCCCTGCTCAGATCCGCTTGCTCACTTTTATTCTTAACACAGCTGCAAAGGCTTTACCAATTTCCTTCCTGCTGAAACCAGGGTTTTTTCCCTTCCATCCCCTGCTCTCCACTCATCTGCTGTAAATTATCGCTGTTCACCACCATCTTCTCTTTAAAACGCTTTCCCTCCCTTGGTGTCTGTGACAGTGTCTTCTGCTTCTCTTGTCACCTCCCTCGCCACCAGAACACAGGCTCTGTCAGGGCAAGACCTTGGAGTCCTTTGCCCACTGCTCTGTGCCCACCACCCAGAACAGTGCCTGCACACAGCAGGCACTCAGTAGCTGCTGGAAGAAAGAATGGAAGTTGATTCCTCCTCTGCTCCTCAAGTCTCCCCAAACTCTAATCCAAGTCTCTGTGACAGTCCTGCCAAACTTAACTTCCATCTTCAACCAGCCCTCCCCAAGTTCTCCATCACTGTTAGTCTTCCAGTTACCTGGGCTGAAACCCTCAGGAAAAAAACTTGTGATTCATTTTATTTTACTCTTTTTTTGGGGGGGGTAACTAGGTTTTTATGTATTTATCTTTTTAATAAATATTTAAAATTATTTATTTATTATTAATTTTAAAATTTATTTATTTTCTTAATGGAGGTACTGGGGATTGAACCCAGGACCTTGTACATGCTTAACACACACTCTACCACTGAGCTGTACCCTCCCTGTCTTCTTTTACTCTTTATCTGTTCTACAATCAGACTGTGTTGACTTGTTTTTTTTAAAACTTAAAAGGGCTCCTAATGAAATGGTAAGAAGCCTTGGATTTGTTTTAAAATACTTAAAAAGAGACAGGAAGACAAAGGATAAAGTAGACATGATAAAATCTTGAGACAACTCTGAATCTGGGTGATGGTATGTGGGAGTTCATTATACTACTTTCTTTACTTTTGTGGATGTTTGAAATTTCCATCATGAAAAAAAAAATTTTTTTTAATGGGCCCGTAGCCATCCCTCATTCCCTGACACCACCTTAGTCTGAGTCCTGGCTGACCTCTCTGAGCCACTCTCTCTAATCCTGTCTAGCCTTCCTCAAATGCTATTTTTGTCATATTGCTTTCTTGCTCAGAAACCACTAACAGTCCCCTTTGGTCGGTCACAACAGACCCAAATTGCACCATGATTTTCAAATGCATCCAGGATTGGAGTCTAGCCTTCCCAGACAATCTGATTTCATACTAGTCTCCAAGGAGGCCAGCCCAGACTCTACAAGTTCCCTTCATTTAGAAAGCCCTCCGTCCCCTCCCCTTCGCCTAGTCAAACCTGAACTGTGCTCAACCCCAATTTACCCATAAAAGCTTTCCTGATTACTCCAACCTTTACTAACACTGTTTCTATGAACCTGTGAAATACGTTTATCAGAGACCATACAATTTAACAATCACACATGGAGTTTGGTTTTTCGGGTTTTTTTTTTTTTTTGGTCATTAAACCTGTTATTTTTGGGTCCCCCCACCAAAGAGTACAAAGTTCATGCCTATAAAGCAGACCATGTTTTAGGCTTTGGTTCGGACCCCTCCACACCAGCAAGTTGCACACCAGTAAATATTTTACTGGCACCCAATAAATGTTTTACCAGTGGCAGAGTGATTTCAGTCCTCAGAGGAGGATCTCCGGGGCTTAATGATAAGGAAGTGGATTCCAATTAACTACAAGTTACTTCCAGGGCTACATGTGTTCCTTTCATCAATATTTATTGGGTTCTGGCTAGATAGATATTAACTGGTCCAGGATATCCTGTGTTCTGTGTGTTTAAGCCCTGCAGACCTGGCAGTTTGTAATGTATGCTGTTGGTGCTCTGCTGAGTTCACTCAAGACACGCAAAGGCCATCTCCCACGGTTCTCTTATAAGCAGCCTCCTGTGTCTCTCCTGCTTCAGGAGTTCTCTGGCCACGGAAGCTTTCTCTGGAGGAGTCGGTGTTAGGGAGCTAATTCCCCCGAGAGTGACCCTCGACCAGTGAGGGATGGGTGATGGTCAATAAACGCCCCAGCTCCCTTGATTTTCAGTGAGACAATTCTGAAGCAGCTCTAGACAGTCGGAGGGCCTCTGACGGGGCTGAACCCCAGTTGTCCAAAACAGTAAGCCACTTATTAACATAACCTTTCCTTGGCTTTCCTACCTTCCCTACTCCCTCACAGAGTTTGCTGGGATCCACTCCAAAGGAAACAACTTCCTCCCAGTTCATTTTCTAGTGGTCTAACAAAGATAACAGTGATCAGGGCGGCCGAGGTCCCTGCTCTGATGGAGCCCCCATTTCCGCATTCACACTGTTCAGACTTTCGGGCACCTGTGCATGCATCCGTGGAGTTCCGTCAGGCGCCGACTCCCCGCCTTGGTGTGCAAGGCATCCACATTTTGGGTCACCAACCAGTACAGTTTTCCCAGTCTCTCCCAGTTGCTCAAAGCCCAGTGTGCAGGGTTGGGCTGGTGGGAGGAGAACCAAGGCCAGCCCACAAAGTTTCTCGCCCAGTACCGCTGGCGGACTGGAGCACTCCGCACAAAATCCCCATGCTGGATGGGCTTCCGGTTCGTGCGGGCGTACAGCCCCACCTTTTCTGACCTGTAGTCTGGGATCCCCGACTCGGTGGAGACTCCCGCCCCGGTCATCACTAGGAGTCTCCTGGAAAGGGTGATGAAGCGCTGTAATTCTTTGACCTTCTCAGGGTCCAGAGGAGGACTCGGTGGCACAAATAATCCAATAGATCCACCTGAGCTCTGCCGGTTGAGGTTCGCCATCCAGCGGCCTTTCGCCGTCCTGAATGTTAACCCAAAGCTCATCCTCATTCTAGAGAGCAAAGACCAGCAAGTGAGAAACTAGGTTTAAAAACGGAGGTAACCAAGGGAAGGGGGGAGGGGCAACGGAGGGGACGAAGAGGTACAAACTACTATGCATATAACACATAAACTACAAGGATATACAATATAACACAGGGAGTATAGCCAATGTCTTAAAATAACTATAAATGGGATATAACCTTTAAAAATTGTTAATCACTATGTCATACACCTATAACTTATACAATATTGTACATCAACTATACCTCAGTATAAATAAATTTAATAAAAACAAAACAACAAAAGTAACCATCAACTGATGAATGGATAAATAAAATGTGTTCTGTTCATACCGTGGAATATTATTCAGCCATAAAAATGAATGAAGTTCTAATATATGCTACAACATAGATAAATATTGAAAACATTATGCTGGGTGTAAGATGCCAGTCACAAAAGGACAAATATGATTCCACTTACATGAAACGTCCAGATCAGGCAAATCTATAGAGATAGAAAGTAGATTACTAGGTCGCCAGGGGCGGGAAGGGAGAATATATCAGAACTTCATTCATTTTTATAACTGAAAAACAACGGTAGGATCTCGGCTCTGAGCATCAACAGCTACTAACATTACAAAAAGAGAGAAAACCAAAATTGTGAGGGTTTCAATGGAAGAGTATACCCACTACACAAGATGTGGTCTTGGCAAAAAACACACACACACACACACAAAACTGAACTGGATTCTGATCAAGTCTCTAGGGGTAATTAACGATTTATAGGAGTAGGGTTGGGTAATAGCTCAGCGGTAGAGCGCATGCTTATTAAGCAAGAGGTCCTGGATTCTATCCCCAGTACCTCCATTAAAAACAAAGAATAAGTAAATAAACCTAATTACCTCCCCCTGAAACAACAATAAACAAAAAAAAAATAAATAAAAGTAAAGTTTAAAAAATTGATTTAAAAAACAATTTATAGGAAATACAGAGGCCAAAGCAATGTGTTAGATGATACCATTTGCCAATCAGCAAAGTCCAGACTAAGGGAAAGTCAACAGGCTAGACAAACCAGAGACAGAGATAAAGAGCCACAAAAGGGCGATTCTACATTAAAAGAGGTTTCAAGACATACCAATCAATTATAATACTGTGGGTCTTATTTGGATCCTGATTCAAATAAACTTAAAAAATATGACATTTATAAAACAATTGGAAAGTTGAACATTAATTGGATGTTTGATATTTAAAAGTTACTGTTAATTTTCTAATGTATGAAAAATGGTATTGTGATTTTTTTTAAGTTTTCATGCTGCAGCGCTATACACAGAAATATTTGGATGAAATGATATATCTCGGAGGATTTGTGTCAAAATAATACTGGGGTCAGGGTGGGAGTAGGCAGGAGTAAATAGATGGAACAAGATTAGCCAACGGGTGTCATTGTTGAAGCTGGATGATGGGTCCATGGCTGGGGGTTCATTGTATTATTCTATGTCCACAATAAAAAATTTTAAAAATAATTCCTTAGAGGAATGTTTGGATGGCAGATGCCCTAGTGTACCCAGGACAGTGGCAGTGCAGAAATGCCCAAAGCCATGAGGTGAAGGAAAATGCTTCTATCTTTTGAATATTCTGTAAGCTTAAGAGATATGCTCAGAAAAATGAGAAGAAAAAAAGAATAGAGAAGTTTGAAGAGAAGCTAAAATGTGAAATGTTTTACTTTAAAGGTAGACAAAACTCCAGTATCTAGACCACATCAGCAGTCATATAGTATTTGGAGAAAACGTATTTGAAATCAAATGTACAAAGTGAACTAGGACAGGTAACCTAAAAGCAGCATACTTGAGTAGCATCCTTATTTCTCCAAAACAGCCCACCCTAAATTGTATTAGGGATCAGGTTACTGATGAGATTTCAACTTATATCTGGAAGCTGCCAACCCAAAAGGTATCTAATAATCAGCAAACTGGTACATTGAAATATTTTATGAGAAAGGTGATGAGAGCCAAAACTGTGAAACTAAGAAATGGCTGGGGAGTAGGAATTTGCTGGCATTGCATTCAATACTGTCCTCTGGAAGATAATATCTAGGTTTTAGAAAAATGTCTTGGAGAGGAGTACAGGTTTTGATCTAACAAGAAAGTTATCCATCCAAACTATACTACTTCCAGAGGCAGATTCCATGCTTATCAGAACAATCTACTAATAATGAATTAATCCATGACTTCAGTCCCTTGAAGGATGGCCCCAAGATTAACAAGAGTATGTTTCACTGGAAAGGCACAGCCGCCTTTCCCTTCACACACAAACACCTAGAATGTATTTATACTCTTGCTTTGTAATCCAAATCCATCTTTGGTAAAATGTGGAAGGGTGTGAGCTAACTCAGGAGCTAATAACTCAAGGATGTATTAAACACTGGGGGGTCCAGGCTCAGAGAAAACATTGCCTTTGCCAAGGATGTGCTGGTAAGCTGGCTTCCTCCCTCCCCTCCCCCTCAGAAAAGGATAAAAGAAAATGATCCGATCATGGCCATTTTGAGGCTACAAATGGTTTATTTAACAATTGGCTGGTAAATTGCTGAATATTTAACAACTGGCTCTCACTGGTACAAACTGATTCCAGCACACCCTCCTGGGTCCTGTGAAGTCCAATCTGAAACAACAAGTCAACCTGTTTATTATCTTTTTAATAATTGTTTTGGTCAAGAATTTCTAATACCCTCCACAAAATAAAACCTTGTCTCCACGCTAGACTGTTTCATAACAGCCCAAGCCAATCCTATCTTCCTGAATCTCTTAAGAACCTATAGCCAGAGTTCTCCTATGCTCTGGACATCACATGAAGATTACCTTAAAATGGCTAGTAAATCTGACAAGGCTTTCTGCATCCAAGGGAAATGGTATATTTTGGTTTCTTAAAAAAAAAGGGGGGGGGGAATCTAAAAAATAAAGTCTATTTTCAAAAGGAGGGAGGATAAAGCAGAATTCTAGCATTACTAAGGCTTATTCTGTCTCTCCCAGTAATACCTGGCTGGTCAGAACTGAATTTCTTGGAAACTTCAAAATGTTAACAGCTTATCCCAGTATCTTTTAAGTCCCTTACCAGCTCATTGTTTACCTATGACTATAAATAAAGATGTCTCTATCAGAGGAATCCATTTATATTTTTAGTTAATGCCATCCCTTAGGGGACTACACAGTCCCAGAAACCTACTTCCCATTTTATAAATTAAAATTACCTTATTTCTTCATAAACTAAAGAAGCACATTTGAGTTCCAGTTTAGTTGATTAAGTTGTTGCTCTGATTTTTCAGGATTTTAATTTTATTAACGTAATTAAGCACATATCCACCTTTTATTCTATTTTTTTCTATATTCTGTTTACCCTCAACTGCTTGGACACAGTAAAGAGTAGTGAGACCTGACAAGGTTTTCTACCTCAGCTTTTCTAGCTGTAAAAACAAGGCTTTGATATATTATTTGATAAAATGCGGAAATTCTCTAGTGACACGCACCCCATACGTAAATATTATTTCATGCTGGGCTTTCTAGATCTGAGATCAGGACCCTGACTGCGCCCTGACATTCCACAGCAACACGTGAACAGCTAAACAAATACATAATCCGGATTCCTGAGACCAAAGGGCTCGGGAAACCCCGCTGAAAACACTATATTGGAACAGCTGCTCTCTCCCAGGTCCCACCAAAGAGCAAAGAGGAGAAATGGAATCCCTTACAAGAAATCTACAATTTCTAGAAACCTGCAGTCCGCAAGGAACATACTTACCTTTCACAGCTTAAGAGACACTTCACGCCCGACGTTAGGACTGACTGTCTATTTTTGCATTTTGGGAAGTGTAGTTCATGAAACCGAAATAATACAAGAAAACTACAAGCCCCACAATCCTATGGCTTTCACAGTTGAAGGACCCAGTTTGTCCGATAGCGCCCCCTGTCGGCATTTCCTGGTCAGAGGTTTCCAACCTCGATTTGCCATGTGCCTCTATCGTGGTCTCTGTACCAGAGAAGCGGTTAGAGTGCCAACGTTCTGAATGGACATCCAAACAGCGCTAACTTAGAAATTCATTGTCTATAAAATAGAAGCTTTGATAGTGGATCTACATTTAATTCATCCTGAACTTCAGTGTGTATGATCCTTTCCACTTACCGAAACGGAATCAGGTATCCACCTTGCAGTGAGTTGTGAAGAAATACATTCACAAATATCTGAAAAACTGCAAATATAATATACGGGGACTAATGTGTGTACCCACGTGGCTTCTGCAGTTTTATTTCTCAGCTTGTGTTTTTATTAAATTAACCAACACAATGTCTGGATCTTACTCCCGGAAATTCTGATTTAATTGGTCTGGAGAGGTGCATGGGCACCAATCAGTTTATAAACTTCCCTGTTATTTCTAATGTGTAGCCAATGAGAACCAATGATCTATAGCATGTCCTAAATAAGACATCATTTTGTAAGGGTTTTAAAAATATCAAAGGGTAGCTAGCATTGACCTTGAAGACCACTCTAAGGAATCACTTCCCCCATTTTCAAATGAACTGAAGACTAAAGTAGTAGTATGAAAGCTGGAGTTTGACTCCTGGTCCTCTCATTGGAGGCATGGAGGGAAATATTGGCAAAGGAACTCGCTTTAATAGTTTGGGAGCAGTATCTCCAGCCACACCTCAAATAGGTCACTGGGCTAGAAGAATTACCTGAGGTCTTTTGTGCCTTCGTTAACATGACTATATTGGCTGAAAAAAAAAAAAGGATCGAAATGCATACTGGAAACTTTCAATAAATCAAACAATTGTAATCCAAAATATTTTCTGCACCTATGGTATGCCAAAACAATGACACCTATGGAATAAGATCAAAACCTACAGAAATGCCAAAACAATGACACCACCACTCCCCTTGACAAACTGCTAATGAAAAACTTTAAACCCACAGTATTTTTTCAGTTCTCCAAGTGGAATAAGCATCATTAAGAGACTGGCCAGGAACACAGGACTATTGTGCTTTTAAGCCCCCCAAAATCTTATGTTCTGGGGAGAAGTTAGCTGAGTTTTCCATTTTTCTTAGTGCTTGGAAGTAATCCCTGGAGGATGAAGTCATCCACAAAAGCTGGTGAAACACACAAATTTCCCTTGATAGCTACTGACAGGGTGTAATGAGCCACCCAAACAAGACATTCTCAAGAGCTGAGTTCTTTGGATAACCCTAGTCTTTATTTCTCACAACTTCACCACACCAGAAATAAATGATGAAGTCCTTGATGATGACATAAATTGTTAACTGAGCAATACTTTGAACATTCAAGTTTGAAATTTTTCATAATAAAATGTTGGGAGAAATGTCATCTCAGAGACTACTATTTGCATCTTAATGTGTAGCAG